CCTCCCAGCCCTCTCTTTGTTACCGATGCCTCCTGCTCAAGGCAGGAGCAATTGTGAGTCACTTCAAAGACTGCTTGGTTTATCCTTACAAAGACTTTCTGGGAAGGCGGCCCACAGCCTGCTCTCAAAGAAATGAGACTGGTTGTCACCATGGTCACCCAGCCCATCCCCCTCCGTCAGGGAGATGCTCCGACTCCTGGCAGTAATTACCCCTGGTGGGGCTGGCCGCATCCCTTCTGCCAGTGTCTACAGGCACCCTCTGCTCCTCAGTCCAAAGCCCTCTGCACACAGCTTGGACCTCCGTTCACCTGCACAAATGCTTTCTTCTCCAAACAGAACCCTCTGAGAATACTGTTCTCTCAGAGTTCCCAGCGCCTGGCTTCACAACTCCTACCGGCCTCTGTGCCCTCACTGAGTCCTGGGATGAGCGCAGGGTGGGTGGCAGGCTGCTAACCCAAAGGAGACAACAAATGTCTGAGCACAAGTCCCTTGTAGTCACAACCCGCTACCCACCCTGCGCTCCTCCCAGGACTCACTAGGGTGCAGAGGCCAGTAGGAACGGTAAGGCAGGGTGCTGGGATCTCTAAGAGTACGGTTCTCAGGGTGGGTATTGACCGTGGAAGTGACGCAGGCCCTGGGTTCTTGGCATTTTCCTGAAGGCGCCTTAACACTCTGTGACCCAAGTCGATTTTTTTTTCTCACTCCCAAAGGTAACTCATTACTGTCTTCTCTCCCTGGGCACCCAAGAATCCAGGAAATGGACTTTTGTAGAAACCCCATTCCAGTCAGGTGGGAGTTTGGAGCCACAGGGAAGCAGTTAAAGGGCCTCGTATCCTTCCCTTGAGAGTTCAGACCTTTAGCCCGGATCCACCAGCCTAGAGGACAGGAAGCTGGCAGTGGAGCCTGCGGTGGTGACAGACGGCGTCTGATCTGAATGGAGCTGTGGTTTGGAGAATAGCAGGCCACACTATGTTCCCTCCCCACCAAGCAACTGTGTGGCTCCCATTTCTGAGTGTCTGGGACCGTCCCTCACCCACCCCACTGTGACGGGCCCTGTGCTGAGTCACCAGTGTGTCCCTAACGTGGAACCTCTTAGAGTATTTGTTTCCTGTGGCCACTGCAACAGAGCAGAGCAGACTGGGTGGCTTAAACCACAGACGTGTACTGTCTCCGAGATCTGGAGGTCAGAAGTTCAAGGTTGAGGTGTGGACAGGCAGCTGCCCGAAGGTCCGAGGGCAGCTGGTGACCTGTTTCTCCCGAGCACTGGTGCTCCAGTGTTCCTTGGCCCCTGCCTCATCACCCGGCCTCCCCATTTGCCTGTGCTGGCATCTCCCTTGCCATCTCTGGCAATGATTACAATGGTTGCCTTTAAGGCCTGGCCTAATCTGGGGCCTCCTCATCTCTAGAGCCTCCTCACCCGAGACACAGCTGCAAGACCCTTCTTCCAAATACAGTCCCACCCACAGGTTCCCCACAGACAGACTTGGAGGCGACCATTCAGTTCCTTAGGGACGCACAGGAGAGTGCCTTCCCATCTCCAGCGAGTTTCTCTAATGGACCCAGCTGGGTACCACAGTGAACTCATAAGGAAAAGGAACCAAGCCCACAGCCCAGGCCTTGTGCCCTCCTTGATGCACCAATAGAGTATCATTGGGAGGAGTGGGGATATTGGGGAGAGGAGGTCTCCCAGGTACCACTGAGCTCCAGCTTGTAGGGTTGTCTGATTCTCAGTCTGACCCTCCCCCTTCCCCCTCCCACCACCCACCCCTTGCCTTGTTCTGTGACCTCTGCACGAGTTCACCTCACAGACATGTGGCTAGTCACCAACTAGTGGCTGTCTGACTCCTCCTGGCCCGTAACTGTATGTGGCCACCCACCCTGGCGTGAACCTGACCTCCAACCACCAGGGATAGAGCCATATATCAGGTGCCAAGGAGGCCTCGTGACATGCCAAGGCTCTGAGGCTGGCAGAGCAAGTCTGTGTGGCCAGGCAGCTGCATTTAGGTCGCAGACTGGGCCACACAGGCTTGGAAGGAACCTCCAGTCTCCCAGCCCAAGTGCAAAACAGCCCCCTTCTGCCTTTCCCATCTATTCCTACTGGGGTCCATGTCCTCACTGTAAGAGCAAAGCCACTGAAGTCTCGACAGGCCAGGCTGCTGTGGGTGACTCGTGGTCCAGACCTTCTCAGAACAGAAAAGTGACCCAGCAAGGACGAAACAGGAAGAAACCCTGCCCATAAATAGCGGCACATGTGCCAACTGTCTACCAAGATGGGACAGCCGGGAGCTCAGTGCCAACTCTCCTGGAGCCTGTGCCAGTTCTCTGGGACTTAGAGCTCCCAAGAGGCCAGTCTTGACTCCAGCCTTTGGGGCGCTGACTTCAGAGAGGGGAGCTCACAGGCTACAGGAGATCATCAGACGGGATACCTACCACTCACGGAGGTGGATGCCTTGGGGTTCCCTCCTTCCTGGCTTCTCATCCTGCAGCAGGGGCACGGCCCTCAAAGGCGCTTGGCGGAGGTGAACGAGTATCCCTGATCAGGAGTAAAATGACAGAAGGGCATGCTGCTGCCTCCAAGCTCCTTGACACCTGAAAAGCCGTTCTTAGCCCTGCAAACCCTAAGGCACCCACAGGAGAGACAGTAGAAACCATGGGGCTGATTGGGAAAAAGAGCAGGGCAGGGCAGTGGGAAGGATGGTACTTTTACCAACCTGGGACTTACAGCCCCAAGGAGGAAGGGAACTGCGTGAGAGGCAGGGCCATCTTTCTGGAGTCCCAAGGTGCCGCACCTGCCTTCTGTATTTGAGCAGGTGAGCAGGGTGATGAGCTCTATGGCTATGTATAGCCAGTGTCTAACCCGTCTCTGCCCTGGACACAGGGCCACGATGAGACAGAGCACCAGTGTGCTTACAACTCTGACGACCTTCAGGCCAACAAGGTCTACAGCGACCCTCCCCATGACTCATGTCGTGACTTTGTCTGCAGTTTGCCTGGTTCTAAGACTGTCTTCTCCAGAGAGCTTCCTGACTGGAGTTCCCAGCTGGGGCCATGGCTCCTATCAGAATACCATGACTATGTTTCTTTCCATCCCGCCAATGTGTAAGCATGGATGGCGGACCTTTCTGTGTTTATGCTCTGGGTAGCCTCAGCCTCGCGTACTTGGCCGACATCAGTGCCTCAAGCTGTGGCCGTGAATGGATCACTCTTCCTCAACATGGCGTCTCCAGGAAGAATGGGAGATGCCTAGTGGTTCCATTGGTATTTAGAGTCATGTTTACACAAGTATACATGACTACATGTTTACAGAAGTGACATAGTAGGTCTAGGTGTGGAGACCTCACCACACACCTTCCAGGACCAACCCCTCTTGGAACTTAGGGTCTGTCTTCAGTGGGATTCTCTAGGCAAGATGAAGTAAGGCCTCACTTTGTATAGTTGATAGCTTCCTAGAAAGACCCAGTGATGTGGCATGGTGTTTGGGAGTGCAATCCTCCCCAGCCAACTGCTGTACCTTCTGCCCTGTAGACTGCCCCACACAGCATGTGGATGCACAACCAAGACCTTCCTGCAGTACTCTGCCCTGCCCAAGCTTCAAGGGGGAGGTGCCTTAGGCTGTGGGCAGACTGAGAGACCCAGTACGCAGGGAACTAGGCACAGGGACCATTTGGAGGGACGCTGGAGGAGGTCCCCTCCTTAGGAGGTCACTTTTCAGTCCAGGGTCTCCCAGGCCCTGGAACTGTTGCCTTCTGTGAGGGTCAGCTGATCTGAACAAGGCCTCCAATGGGTCCTGTCTTAGTCAGTGTTCTGTTGCTGTGAAGAGACACCATGACCGTGTTGACTCTTATATAGGAAATATTGAATTAGGGCTGGCTTACAGTCTCAGAGGTTTAGCCCGTTATCCTCATGGTGGGAAAGCACATGCAGACAGACATGGTAACTGAGAGGCCTACATCTGGATCCACAGGCAGCAGGAAGAAAGACTGGACCTGGCTTGAGCATTCTGAAACCCCAAAGCCCACCCCCAATGACTTGCATCTTCCAACAAGGCCACACCTCCTAATCCCTGTCTAATAGCACCACTCCCTAATGACCAAGCCTTTAAATCAACGAGCCTCTGGGGGCTATCCCTAGTCAACCACACAGGCTTCCAACTGTACTTGTGGTTCATTCCTCAGAGGTATGTGTTCCTGCCTGTCACCCTGCATCACGGGGGTGGGGGTGGGGTGGGTGGGAGAGAGGGATTCAGGAGGCTCTGGCATTCGGCTCACAACCCTGGTCCCACAGTGGAGGTCAAGGATCACAGTCCCTCTGAGTTCCCTGGCATCCCTCCTGCCCACATTGTTGCTACACCCCAGGGGATGTTGGGGATTGAACTGTACCCCTAAATGGGTATGTTCACTGGTACTTGTGAACACAAATGTCTAAAGGTCTTGACAGTGTCAAATTAAGATGCGCTCCCTGCATTAGTGTGGCTGGAGCCACTGGAGAAAATGTGTTTGGACACAGGGAACCCCAATGTGATGGTGAGGGCAGGAATCAGAGAGGAGCTTCTGGAAGCTAAGGTATAGTGATATTTTATTTATGTTTTAATAAATAAAGCTTGCCTAAAAATCAGAAGGGCAAAGCTAAGCCACTAGAGGTCAGGTAGTGGTGGCACACACCTTTAATCCCAGGATTTGGGTGACAGATGGGTCTCTGTGAGTTCAAGGCCACCCTGGACTAAACAAATCCAGGCGGTGGTGCCTCACACCTTTAATCCCAGCACTAGAGGGAGCATAAAATGGGAGGAGAGAGAGGCTTAGTCTGCCCAGGCCACTTAGTCTGCTTAGCCTGTGGTTGCCCAGTCTTGGTAGAAGTAAGACTTCTCTGGGTTTTTCTGGTTTTCAGGTTGAACCCCAATATCTGACTCTGGGTTTTTATTATTTGTGCGCTACACTAAGAAGCCCTGGGCACTGTGGGAGCAAGCACCCGCTCAGGGCTCCAGAAGGACTCAAATAAGCAAAGTGTTTTCAGTTTATTTAAACTCTGGTTTGGAAAACTCTGTTCCAGTTGGAAACCAAAGCAGACAGGCTCTGAGGAAGCAGCCAGACACCTTCAGCATGGGAACAACCCCTCCGTAGTCCCAGGCGGACTCAGCAGTGAGTGGCCTCGCTCTTCTGCCGGTTGTGCCCATTCTGCCCCCTTGACCTCCTTCAGACATCCCTCCCCACAGCACACTGGTTCAGCAGGGGCCTTCAGCTCAATACCTCTGCTCCATACCCACCTCTCCCACACTTCTTCCACACCTTGACCCCCAAAGAGAGCAGCTATCTTCCTGCCAGGGGGTCCTATCCAGACCAGCTCTCCAAAGCCCAGGGTGTGAAGAATCCTCGGCACCACCCACCTGTAAATACCTGAGGCAAGGGCAAAGTCAGGAAGCCCTAGTTACTGCCCCAAGCTTACACCAGGTCATCCTGGGAGAGACAGTGTGCTCCCTTTCGTCTCTAAGAATCCTTTACCTCCCCATCCCACACCTGTTCATCCTACAGCCTCCCTGGAAGCCTCCCGAACCCTCGCTTCATCCACATGAAGGACTGAGCCAGTGTCCTGGGATTTTCAGTTCCGTGTCTGGGAAGACGGTCCTGGCCTGGCCGTCACTGAGGTTCTTTTGTCCTGAGCCCTGAGGACAAAGCCTCACTCCCTGACCTGGTGGGAGATGGGGAGGGGGAATCTCACATTCTTGGTCACCACTTAGACTGCTCCAGGTTCAGGTGGCTGGTCTCATACCTGGGGAAGATAGCAGAGAAACCATGACACATGCGTGGACTTCCTGCCCCGCTGTGGCAGAGGCCCACAGACCTAAGTCTTAAAGCACAGATTTATCTTCCATTGGTTCTGGGGGGTCAGAATCTACCCAGAGTCCACTGGTTAAGGTCAGGGTATTACAGGACTTTACTCCTCCCCAGGCTCCAGGGAGACTGTCTCCATGCCCTTTCTAGTCTGCCTCCACTCATCTCTAGACAGAGCTAGCTACGGGCAGCCCAACTCTCTAATGCTGTACCCTCCTCTCCTCCTTCCTATCTATCAGGTCTTGTGTGCACCCCAGACCTCCACACACAAGCCAGTTAACCACACCCCCACCTCACTTCAGCAATCCTTGCAACCTTTCTCCCCTGAATAGAGTTTAAAACAAAAGAAAACAAAAAACCATAAGCGGAACAGTCATCGTTAGGAGACCATTCCTCCAGCCACCCTCGGTCTCTCGGGGACTCTGTCTTTGTCACCTGTGTGCTCCTTGACAGTGACACTGAACTCCTCCACTGACTCTTTCCTCTTCTTACTCACCTTGTCCATGGCGCCAGGCCTGGGGCCCAGGAGGATCAGGTGGCCAGAGGTACAAGCTGCCCATTGTGTTTGTGCGGGTGGGTCCCACAGGGCCTGGCAGGCCAGCACCAGCATTCTCCCACTGGTTTAAAAAAAAGAAAAAAGAAAAAAAAAGGCCTTTGTGCAGGCAGCAGGTCCCCACCCTGCTCCATGTGAGCCAAGACTGGTTCCCAGCTTCCCTGTTTGCAGGCAGGATGACCGTGTGGCTCTTCATTCTGTGTGGTTAGTGTCACCAGCATTGCATGCCAGAGGGCTCAGATCTGCAGGAGACCGGCAGACTCACCAGCTAAAGACCAGTTCCTTCCCAACTGCAACATTGGTGGAGTTATAGGGAAATGGCGCGTGGGAAGACCATGGTGCTGGCCCGCCAGGCCCTGTGGCTGTGCTATGAGCACTTTGGGACAACTTCTGAATCTCTTGGGTAAAGAACGTGGTCCCTATGGAGAAGGTGTGTTCAGAAGAGGGTGAGCCACCCCAGGGGGCACTGACAGCCTGGTGGCCAGCAGGTGCTTGAACTGGTCGATGCTGTTGTCACTGTGGGAAAGGTTAAGGATGGGAGCGAGGGAGGTGGCCAAGAGACAACTGAGCATTACAGGCTGCAGCCATGACAAAAATTGAAGTCTGGAAGTCAGTGGGGTCCCAAGGGACCTGGGAGCCGTTAGGACCTCTGAGAAGAAGCATCTGCATTGCACCATCCCTGGCTGTCCTACACCAAAAGCCCACATTTTGTTTCCAGCCGGTCCCATGGAGTCAACATGCACCCTGGCTTGGAACATGCCCCCAGGAGCAGGGGCCTGATGCTGTTAGTCAAGGCATCTCACAGACTCAAGATAGAGACACTCTTGAGAAGAGACTGTGAACTATAGTGACAACATCCCAGTTATGCGAGTGTAGGGTCCTGGCTCCTACAGACCCTCCCGAGAAAGATGCCTCCCTCAGACTCCTACCTTAGATTGTAGGGTAGAAGAGGCCAGCCAAGAGTCTTGCTGGCTCCTTTTTGTTCTGTTTCTTTGGAAGGTCAAAGCCACGGACAACAGGAGATGAGGCTGCTTGGCATCCTAGCAATGGAGATTCCGACACTGTCCCCAGGGCCAGGGTCAGGGTGGGAGGGAAGGAGGAAACAAGGGAGCTACTTTTGTGAAAAGAGAGCTGGGTGGGGGCACAGGAAGGGCAGGGAAGGAAGGCAGGAAGGAGGGTGGGGAGGGCGGCACTGATGGAAAGCCCTTGAGGCCCCAAGGATGGAGGCCCTGTTTTGACCTGAGGTAGAGGGCAGAGTGAGCCTTCTCTGCTCTCCCCACAAGGCCTTAGACACCAGATTCCTGCAGCCCTTCATGGAGTCAGGTCAGCAAAGGCCTCTGTAGGTGATACCCCCAATTCCCACCTCATCTGCCTGAGGCCTTATTTCAAGCCTGTGGGACATTCCACAGGCTGGACATTCTGGGCATAAAATCCACCAGGGGCTGAGGCAGTGCCGGTCCGGTAGAGGAGCTGCTGGACCTCCCAGGTGTGAGCGCTGCTCCTGGAGCCATTCCAAGAGTGAATGGAAACAGGTAGCCCGTGCAGAGGGCTTGGAGAAACCAATCATGGAAGAGCTACATGGATTGGAGCCAGGTTGCGGGTATACTAACTCTCCAAAGGTATTGGGGGAGTTGGGAAGACACCTAGGGTCAAAGGGCAAAGGAGGGAAAGATAGGGAGGAACAAGGGTCATGGGAGGAGTCCTCAAGCGCAGTCTTCTCCTCAAGGGTAGCAAGGCAGAGACAGTGAAGGGAAGACAGATGTCTCCCATGATAGATTCCCATCAGCATCATTCCTGCCTCCGATGCTCTTCTCTGCCTCCAGATGACTGAAGTCCCAACCAGAAGCCCAAAGTGAGGAATCTGGTAGATACTCATCTACCTGGCAGGCAGCTTTCTAGTGCAAGGCCTAGACAACACAAAGAGAAAGACTACAGACCAAACAAAGATCCACTTATTACCTCTGTCACTGTCATGGTAGTTGATAACAGTTAGGGTGGAAATGGTGATGGTTCTGGCATGGTTTTGGTGACAGTCACAGAGATATTTGCAGTGGTGACAGTGACGGTAATGGTTATGGTGATCATGTTCATAGGTTTAGTGGTCATGATGATGCTCCTGTTGGGAACAGTGGGCACAGTGGTGGTGACAATGGTACGAGGGTGGCGGTGGTGGTAGTTGTGTCCTTAGGTTTGGTGGTGGTGATGTGGATGATGCTGATGTTGGCAGTGGCGGTGATGGTGGTGAGGACAGTGATATGGTGCTGATGTTGGTAGCCATGGTGATGGTGCTGAGGACAGAGATATGATGCTGATGTTGGTAGCCATGGTGATGGCAGTGAGGACAGTGATATGATGCTGATGTTGGTAGCCGTGGTGATGGTGGTGGTGAGGACAGTGATATGGTGCTGATGTTGGTAGCCATGGTGATGGCAGTGAGGACAGTGATATGGTGCTGATAGTGGTCATTGCATTGGTTTTGGTGGTGACTGATAGTAGTAATGGCAATGGTGGTGATAGGAGTGAAATAGTGGTGATGGCCACCATGTTCTTGGTTTTGGTGGTGGCTGTGGTGTTTACAATCACAGTTTCAGTGGTCATGGTGACTATACCACCAGGGTAGGTCATGAAGCTGTCATTTTCTGAAGAGCCACGACTGTCTCCCAGCATTTCACTCTCTGCTTCAGACCACTTATTCATCTTGGAAACAATGGACAAACCCTGAGTCCATCTGTCCACACTGGACTGCTGAGCAATGTCACCAGGCACCGGAGACCACTCCTGTCCAGGATGAGTCCTGCTGGCCATTAACTCACCACCCAGCTGCCGCTGACACACATGGCCATACATCTTAGTCCCTCCTTGGATGGCTGGTCGCAGGTCATGCATCCCATCGCAGGCTCCAGTGCCCAGCACCGACCCTTCCTAGCCCGGGTCACTCATTTCCCAAGGCCTTTGCGGGCCACCCACGGAAAGGTTTGCCCAGGGTTCCTCTTCATTCTTCTACCCAGGTACCTGCCCACCCAGCAAAGCTTGCTTTCTCCTTCTCAGGCCTCCAGAAAGCCAGCTCTCCTCCCTGTCAGTGAGAAACTTGGCTGGCACTGGGAGAAGAAGACATGCTGACATCCCAGGCAGAAAGCGGCTGGCTGCTGGCCTCAAACCCACACCTGCCTGGCCTCTAAGCATACACTGTCTGCGCTCTGGCAGAGGACAGGTGGGTGTATTCAGTCCAAGTTTACAAAATAGAGCCGTCTGACCCTACATGGTTTATGCATGAGTTCGCTCCATTGCTCTTTATTTATTTTTCTTTTTTCTTTTGCTGGGGATTTGGCCAGGCTCATGCCAGGCAAACACTCTACCAACAAAGCTGGCCCCAGCTCCCTCCTGTCATTCTTCAAACCAGACTTGACTATGAGCACACACATATAAATACACTGCATACATATTGCACCATCTTATAACACACACAAGTATGCAGGCACATATGACATGCAGAGTCATATGACACACATAAGCTGCACACATATTCTTATGTGCTTAACACATATGAACTCATTAATACCGCACACACTCATTCATGACACAATACCCCTGTATACACATAATGCTCATGTACATATATACCTACATGTGACATGCTCAAACATGCTCTTGAACACACACACATACATTTATACAAACAGCCCACCCACTTTTACATATACTTAAAAAGTCATGAGCATACAAGAGCACACTTGCACATACATTCAGAGAGCACAAATAACACACCCACACTGTAGAGTGTACACTACATCTACACACACACCAGCGTCTTTTCACCCTCTGTGATTTTATGTGGGAATTCCCACATTGTTACTGGCTAAAAGGAGGTTGTTCATCAGTTTTCTTGCTGCATTCTGGACCTTGACCACAGAAGCATCCCTACTTTTAGTCCGTGTCCCAGAGGTTCATAGATGGATGTGACAGGTTCCTGGGGCAAAGAAAGATGACAGAGAGTAAGGAATCAGGATGCACAGGACTTTTCTACAGCCCTAGGGAGTCAAAGACACTCTGTCATCATGGGGGACTCTGTGACCCTTGGTGTCCTTTGGCCCCACCTGCCCTGAGACTCCAGAATAGCCTACCCAATTGGTTTTCCTTTTTTGCTGGGGAGTGGGCCTTGAGCATCCTGAGCAAGGACTCTACCGACTGAGCTATCCTCAGCTCCAGCTCCCTGTCCCTCTTTTTGCTCTGCTTGATGTCCAACAGCATCTCCAAGGAGACATGTCTAACCTCCCCAACTGTGCTTCCTGCGGCTGCTGCATGTTGCTCAATTTCACGTTACGTTCTCCCAGCTCCCAGGAAACCCCTTTAGTTTCAGCATCCAAATGCATCAGCGCCTGCATCCCTCCCCACCCAGCACTGGACTCCTGCAGGTTTCCGCTACAGCCTCCACAGCAGAACAGACAAGCTCTCGGCCATGCCGACGGCAGGCACCTCTCCACCAGTGTAGTGGGACCTTGACTGTGGCTGTCAGGAATCCACACCAGAATCCCTTCACGACACTAAAGATGCCATCACTTCTGCAGTCCCCTTCTGATCCTTACCTCCTTAGGGACATACACCCTAGAAGGGTGACAGCTTCCACTGGATGTGCTAATTAAGGGCAAGGAGCTGGAGGAAGACAGGAAGAGGAGGAAAGGGAGGTGGGGGGAAGAAGAGGACTTGGTAAATATTTGCTAAGGGAATGAATGCGTAGAACACAGCTCCTGTGTAGCCCCTGTGAGGCCCTGAAAACACGGAAATCAGGAAGAGAAGAAGCTGCAAAAGGAGAAGGCCGCCCTGCCTCACAGCAAAGAGGATTTCTGAGACTGACGAGCCTGTCCCTTCCCCTCGTGTCCCTCTGAGGACCCTGAGCCTCTACCATCATCATGAGCAGCTGAACTGCCAGGCAGACATTAGCAGAGGAGGTGCTAGGGGAACAGAAAGGGGGGAACTGGCGGGGGGGCACAGTCTGTCACTGCAGCTGCTTTATGCCAAATGCCTAGAATTCTAAAGTCTCTCCCACCCAGCAAGCAGGACCAGCTGCAGGCTGGCCCCCTCAAGCTGGTGCCGAAAGGGTCTGGCGGCTGCTGTGTCTCAGCCTTCCTCAAAAGCCCAGCGTGCAGGTCGGCCAGCATGAGTACTGTGCTTAGCAGGTCCCTCCCACTCAGGCTTGCAGTGAGGCAACCTGACCCGGCCCTCCCCATCATCACATGCTCACCCCCTCCACCCCCCACCCCCACAAGCCACCCTAGGAGTCACAAGGCAGAGTTTCCATTAGCGTCAACCGTACGTGGAGGTTGGTCCTAAAACCGGTGGGAACGGGAGGGAAGAAGACTGTTTTAGAAAATTCACATGCCTGGGGTCACATGGTGACCGAAGACATCCCCCAGCGTGGGGAAATAGTCCTTAGGGTGTGGACTCTGCACTTGGGTGCCACTCCCGCCCCACATCACATAGCCACTTCAAGGAGGAGGGGGTAGCAGATGCTCACCCTCAAATAAGATATTCTACCTGCAAGGCGCAGGGCTGAAGGGCGCAATGATCTCCAGGCCTGAAAAGCCTGTTTGAGTCCGATCCCCTACATGCTCCCAAGGCTGTGTGTCATTGACCAAAACAACCTACAAGGAGTTGGATGTGTACCCCAAATTCAAACACTCCAAATTGCCCAGAATTTTCCCAGATGGTCAGGAGAATTATCCGAAACCCCCAAGTTCAAAGAGGGCCCTATGCCTGGGGTTCCTAGGTCATTTCTACTTTAAACTAAGTCACCATAGGAAGCAGCCAGCTTAGGGAACAAGTGGGTTGGCTCTCAGTGAGTGCTCAGGGGCTCTATATTGACCCATTCACAGTGGTGCTTAGGCACCTGGAGTGACAGGGTGGAGCTCAAAAAGATTTGAGGAATGGGGAAGCTCACAATCCCAGCCAGCTCCAGCTCAGGTGTGGTCGGTCAGCTCAGCGTGAATAAGCCACCCCCTTCTCCACCTCCCACAGTGGGAAATCAGGGAGCCCACTATCACAGGGACACTCTGTTCCAGGTATCCCCACCATTGGCATTCCTACAA